TTCATGGCGGGGAGGAGGAGAGCGAGGCGACGGCGTTGGAGGAACGAGAAAACGCGTCGCTGATCACAGGGGCAATCGAGATCGTTATCTGGCCCTCGCCTATTACGACACAGCCGTGTCCCGTTTCCCGCGCGCCCTCCGTCGCCTCTCACAGCCCGCCCAGCGTCAGCCAGCGTCCCCCTCCGCCGCACGGCCGGCCTCGGCCCCCGCTCGGCCTTCGATCACATCTCAGATCCAGCGCTTCCGTCTTCCGGCGCTTCCACACTCCGTCCACGTGCCCCTCCTTCAGACTGAGAGCAAATATAAATGTATGCTACACTAACAAATCCTTAAACTATCCACCCCCTCACAGCGCCCGCTACTCGCTTGGAATGTGCGAGTTGATCTCCTCTAGCAGCTCGTCCGCAATCTTCGCACTCTGCACCTGCACTCCGACGTCAGCACCACATCTCCTCCAAAACGTCCCCACTCACCCTCAGATTATAGTGTGTCGTGCTGCCCCCCTCAAACACGCTGAACCGCAGGTAGCGTGGATCCTGCGCCAAAAAGCACCTCATCCCCTTGAACAGCGTCGCGTTCAGCAACACCGTGTACACCGCTTCCTTTCTCATGACTACAAACCAATCAGCACAAGCCACCCGTCACAAAACGCAAAACACCCACTCAATCGCGCACCAGACCCGTCCGCCCGCCGCACGTTCAGCCGAATCGTACCCGTCCCCCGCTCCTTCCACTGGTTCTGCGAGCTCAGCGAAAACAGCTTCCCTCGCACCTGGTACACCGTCTCCTCCTCCTCCTCTCCGGTCAGCACTGCAGCCCCAAGTCAGCATACGTCGCTCGCACAAACACATCGCAACGCACCCTCTTGTTCAGTCAACGCCACCCGCCGCTCCTCATCGCTCCCCTCCTCATCGTCCTTCTGCGCCCTCAGCCGCTCTCCAAACGTCCCACCCCCATTCCCAACCACACCGCCATCCTCCTCACCCTCGCTCTCCTGCTTCGTCCCCGCATCCAGAATGCCCAGACCCACGGCGCCCTTCCCCGCACCCGCACCCGCACCCGACGCGTCCCCGAGCGCCGGACTCCCTCGCTTCGGCGTATGTGTCACGAAGCTCTGCGCCCCGCCCGCCGCATACGCCGAAAACGCATTGCTCGCTCGCGCCGGTGTGCGCGACGGAGACCGGCTCCGCGAGAAGCTCCCGAATCCCGGTGGCGGAGGGGACTTTGGCCGCTTCGCCGCACTCGCAAACGGGGACGTCGTCGACGCGAACGCCTCAAACCCGGTCCGCTTGTGCGGGACCGGTGCGCACGGCGGCGAGAGCTGGTTGAGCGACGACGACTGTGATAGAGGCTGCGATGGGGGCGACTTGCTCAGGAACGCAGCGTTTGCGGCACTGGAAAACGGCGAAGCAGTAACGCTGGGGCTCGGATGCGGTGAGGTGCTGGTGCTCGCCCAGGTCGACGACGACGGGGACTTTGACCCGAACACGCTTGGGCCAGATACGGATGCAAAGGGGGAGCTCGTGGACGCGTACGCCATGAAGCCGCCCTGCGGAGATAGCGGTCAGTAAAGATCCCGAGATGGACATGAGGAAAGCGGACCAGTTTAGGCGTGTTGGTGGTTGAACTCGGGGGAGTCGTCTGCTTCGGAGCCGCAGACCCCGGTGCCCCGGTCTTATCGACCTCATCCTCAGGTGGTGGTGTGGGACGCTTTGTGAGCCGAGGGTTGTCGTCCTTATCAGAGTCGTCTCTTAGTCGTTTAGCCTTCCCCATCTCGGGGACGACCCCGTTCCTCGCTGGGACTATTTCACCAGGAACGAGGCGCTCGCTGACACTTCGATCTGCCAGCTTTCGCTTCAGGCCTTTTTCTTGATCCATGTCCGAGTCGGAACCACGGCGGGAATGGGCAGGAGATATGTCCGCAGGCGGCGCGGCCGACGCCACCGGCTCCTCAGGACCCACGTCGGTGTTTGTATGCTTCTCTACGTCGGATAGTTGGGCTTCTGGAGGCTGTTCGGCGGGATCAGCCTGCCCGCTATGTTCGTCTACACCAGCATCGTCAGTTATTATGGGCGGATTCTCTCCTTGCAACAGCGCCGGAGGGACTGCTACATTCTCTCCGCCCGCGACCTTGGCCTCAATCAGCCCCGAGTTCTCCTGTTGTATTTCTTGTTGGCCTTCTGCGCGTGATGGGGGCTCTGCAGGAGGGTGATCATCTTCTTGCTGCATCTGGTCCTTGCGCATGGTCTGCCAGGTGAGGTCCTCCACGCCCTGGCTGATTTGCCGGATCTTCGTCTCATGCGGCGGAGAGCAGCTCGACACAAGTTCCTCGTCCTCTTCCTGCGTAGTGTCCAGCTGGGCACTGACGCGGTTCTTCTTGGCAGGGGTCCGTCGCTCCCTGTGTTCTGCACGCTCGCCGTCGATTTCCTGCATAGTTAGCGTTAGTTGTGTGTAATATGATTGAGGATGGTCAGCGTGACGGAGCAGCGTGATGCAATGCGGTGCCGGGCCAAGGGCACAATGGTGGGAGGTGAGGAGGATGGAGCTGAGTGACACGTACGATGGCCGCAGCCTGAGGCGTCGAGGGCTCCTGGGACACCTCTCGCTCGCGTTTGCGGGACATCTTGAGCTCTGGATAGACGGAACGACAGTGTCAGTGGCAGGCTATCGCCACTGGCATCGTAGCTATATGCTCACCGACTGCATCCTCGGGCGTCGGGGGGGTAGAGGGAGTCGACTCGTGCGCCTCAGGCTCGGCAGGCCTGGAGGGCGGATCGTCGGGTATGGTCATGGTAAAGTAGAACGGCGAGCTGAACGTTGGGAGAGCGTGGGGGAGGCGTCGATTCGTCAAAGCCGTAATTGAACGACGGATGAGCCCGAATTTGGGGTGGCTCCTCTGCATAATTTAAGTCCCGCTTGTGGCGTGCCCTCGGCACCCAAGCTGTGTACTGGATTTCGGGGTATCCAGTCTTTCCCGCGGCGAGATAGCCTTATCTGATAATGAAGGCTATTAATCCAAAATAACTTAGTCACGCTTTGGAGCCACGTGCAAGCACAACACCATTACAATGCCAGCTTTTCGGACACTGGACAGTCGGACTTGCCACAGCGCCACGGCCACAAGGACAACAATGGGGTGTTCAACATCTTCTTTCTCGCCCACTTTCAGCACCTCCTCGGTGCAATTTCCAGTCCATTGGTGACCCCACTGCAACCAGTGGCTGCGCTTGCGCGCGTAGTCAGTCCGTAGGCTCGTCTCAAGCTCTCCGAAGGATCCTACAAGTTCTCCAGATCTTGCTTCTAGTAAGGCGGAAGCTTTACTGTTCGAGTTGTGGGGGGGCACAGTGTCTGTGTGCGTTCTTAAATTTGCATTTCAAAATTTGATCTGTTGAGGCTTGTTCCGCGCACGCAGAGGAACTAACTGCTTCTGAACTGTAGCCTGTTCGCCTTCCTTCCTCGCCACAGGTATCCGCCTGTTTCGGTGCCTTTCAAGCCATTAATCCACTCCCTGAATTTTGCTATCCGTGTCATCCCAAAGACCCGCCTGTATCATCATTGATTTCGGACACTCTTTGTATCTCGAATATCTCATGCTCAACATTTACACCCACGATAGTCGCCGCAATACAGATGTAAGCTCATTATTTCTTGCGCGTTGTATGATCTAATCACCCGTACAGTACGAATATGACTGATCCTCCTGGTGCGATAGCACCGCCCCCTCCGCCACATTTATCACAAGAGCTATACGATATGTTCATCGATGCGCTTGCGGTGCCAGCAGGACCAATTTCCCGGGCGGATCTACTGGCATGCTGCCTCGTATGCCGGTCGTGGGTCCATCGCGCCCGAACGCATTTATACCGCCAGATCCGCTTGAGGCCGCTTACCAATCTAGAGCAGTATGATGAAATATACACAAAAAACTGTCTGCTGCCGTATGTCCGTCAGGTGGCGATCATCGGATGCTTGCTTCGGCACGTATACACCCCCGACGATGCAGGTTCTGGTCTGGACGACGACGAGCACCCAGACCACTCGTGGCTGGACCCTGCCGCCGCCTTTCTCGCACGGTTCCAGAACATCGAACTGTTGCATCTCTACGATCTCAGCTGGGGCGACATCAAGAAAGAGACACGCGACTTCTTCCTGACCCATTTCCCTGATGTTACCATGCTGCAGCTGTCTTCTGTCGATTTCTGGAATGCTAACCAGCTCTTCCGCACTCTGGAGTCGTTCAAGCACTTGCTCGCGCTCAGCACGGATCATATATCCTGGCACCGGGCGAACTACACTCGTCGCCAGATGTCCCAAACAGACTCCATGCGTTTGAGGCGTTTGATGTTGGGCCAGACCGAGGCCGCGCGCTATGGACCCATGATCACCTGGTTACTAGGAAACCGGGAGACGTTCACCGTGGATGAAGCACTGATCAGCTGGGAGGATACCGAAATTAAAAGCCTCGTGCGCCTGCTGAGGAGGATTGCGCCGACTCTGTCTTGCCTCGTGTACCAGCAGTCGATGCAGCTGCCAGGATGTGAGTTGGCCGTCAATGGAATTCACCTTACCTCAGGGCTGACGGCGCCCGTGGTCCACGACAGCCGAAAACGCTGAAGCACGCGTTGCGACGGCAAATGCTCTCCTAGGAAACCCCCTGCCCATCGTGCACGCTGCCGCGGCAAACCCGCCAGCTCCAATTGCACCACAGGTGAACCAAGTCCCCGGTACATTTAATGCCGGACAGATTAATATAATTGAAGGTTTTAATGCTGGATTGATTGGATTTCTTGTGGCTGCCGACGCCAACGATGGCAATGAGGGCACTGACGATGAAGAAGTTGGTGACCAAGACAACGAAGACGACGATGACAATTTGTCGGACGATCACGTTCGCCCTTCGACCCCAATTGAACTCGAGGACGATGAACCCGAAGCTGAGGACGTCATTGCGGGTTTCATCGAAGAGGACGGCAATTTTGTGGCTGAGGGCGAAGCGATGCGGCTGGGCTTGGAACACCTCGACGAAGCACCGATCACGGAAAGCTCGATCAAGATACTGCAGGCACGCGTTTTTTGCACTACGATGGCGCTCTTTGGAGTCAAGCTGATGTGCCAACTGGTCTCGCCCGACACCAAGAATTTCACGCTGGTGCTGATTCTCCCCAGCGGCTGGTCTGGTCCCGTGCTACGTTGGTCGAACCTGAGCTCCGTGCTGGACTGGGCTGCCGTCAACAATATGCTGGCTGTGGCCGCTGGGCGCGTTACGAGCGGGACTGTCCTCGATCTTGTCTTTCACGGGGCCGTTGGGCGTCCCTTGGCCGACGCAAACTCGGTGTCGTTGAAAAGTGCGCTGAGGGAGTACCTACCTGCTGTATTCGCAAGTGGACAGTGGCGCGTGTTCTGGGGCAATACGCTTGTGTGACACGCCCCTTCTGCGTGATCAAGGTGTCCTCTTAACGTGTGTGTGGCTCCGTTGCTCGAGGTCGCGATGAGTCGTCAACGGTTCCGCGCACGAGACAATCCCTTTGCCGCCTGGACAGCCGTGTGTCATCCCGTTTTCCATATCGCGTAAGTCCTGCTCCATTATGCTTCTGCTTGTCTCATGTCGCTACGACGTGGCCCAACCCACCCCACTCCAGTTGTCTACTGGGTATATGTTCAACACATTACCCCCCTTTCCGTCCTCGTCGTCACCCCTTCATCACTCCTTTCTCTTCACTACTCAATCCCTGGAATCCCTCGCCTTCTATCGCTCTTTGTGATGATCACTGCTTCTAGCTGCGATTGTAACCTTCATTATACAATCGATGTATTACTTTTCCCATTGTTTTAGGACTCTTGTACCTTGAAGTTAGCTGATACGGACAGCCATATTGTATTCGGCGTGCGCTAACTTGAGTTGACTCGTGAAGGTAGGTGCTCGGTTCGTAATCAAACTTGATATCAAAATTTGCCCCCGATGATATCGTTGACATATAGATCCGGCTTAGCAGGTACCGCATCTCTCCGTGGTGCTACTAGGTTTGACTCGACTCTTGACTCTGAGGATTCTCTTGTGTGGGTATGCCGAGACACTCGGCTCATTATCAAAGTGGCTTGTGAACCACTTTGTGTTCAAGATAGCAATTCGACTCCTACACAATGATGCCCACCTGCGCAAGACCGCCGCGCCATGATTGATGTGCCATCAAATCGCAGCCTCTAGTAGCAGTACATGCGGAATCTGACAGCTGTGTACCTACTCATCGATCTCGTGGAAGTGACCCGTGCTGCCGCGCAGTACGTTGTCCGCTCTCATGCGGAAGCATCGCGTCGCCGCTGCGCTTCTATGCTTGGAGGCTATATAAGTGAGTCTGGCTTGGTCCTATCGCCGTCAGTGTTATCTCGAGTGTCCTACATCCGGGCGATATCCGTTCTGCTTTTACTTTATTATATCCCATTCAAGTCCTTCAACCCACGACGATGATCCTCGCTGATAGTATGGCGCACCTCAAGAACGTCCGTGAACTCGACAAGGAGAAACAGGCCAACACCTTCTCCGCTTTCGGGCAGGTTCGTCGTGTGGATTCCCTTCGTGTCGTCACTCGGCTAAGTTTGAGTAGACCCATGTGGTGGATGCAGATGCACCTCCTCCGTACGCCGATGCAAAGGCTACCTGTGCTAGTGCCTCCTCCTCAAAGACGCCCATGTCCGAGGACTCGGCCCCGCCCAAAGTCGCGCAAACCTCTGCATCTGTCAGCGCACTGAGCAGCGGCGTTCCTCAGCGCGTGAACCACATTTCGCTGTTTTCCAAGCGCGCGCCCATCTCAGGTTCGGCTATGCTTTCTGCCTGCCGTTCAAAGTCGCCTAACCGTTTTGACACTCGCACCAGGCACCTATCTCGTCGACCCGCTCCTTGCCGTGCCAAGCGCCGCTACCGGAGTGCTGTCTAGAAGTAGCCTTGGCAAGATCGAGCGGGAGCACGCACGAAACCTTCGTGGATCCCATGATTGGATGCTGGGGACGCACAAGTCGTCGTCGGAGACAAACGCAGGGTTCAGAACGCGTGACGGGAATGTCGACCTGGACATTGCAGTTGCTGGTTCTGGGGCCGGTGATTACGGGAGGAAGGCCAAGGCGCGAGTGACCGCTTCAAGCCGTCACGGACATGTCAGAGTCAATCTCGTGAGACAATCTTCCAAATTCATCCAGCGCTGCTAAGTATGCTCATCGGAACTGTGTGTAGTTTGAGATACAAGGAGGCCGCTGTGTGGATCTCAATGTTTCTACTCGCAAAGGTAGGTCAGCGGCGCATTTGTTGGTGCATAGCATCTGACCTTGCTGCGTCGACTAGGAAACATTGTCGTGCTGCTTCCTCCGGATTTCTGTGGACCAATTACTTTCAAGACGAGGCGGGGTCGCGGAAACATCAACTTCCTTCCTGCCTTTTCCGAGCGTGCTCGCATTGTGCGTGCGACGGATCGCGAGACGGCCGTTATTTTCTCGGGAACGTCTCCCACAGAAGATGTCCAATCGGTTGTTCAGGACGACTCTTGCGTCATAGGCACTCGTGCTGGTCGGATTACGGTAGGAGTGAGTGGCATCGACCGGATCGACGCCGTCGCTCGGGGAGGTGGGCTATTGAAGCTAATCGAGGGGTGCGCGAGGTTGTTAGAGACCACATTTGCCGGCCGTAGGGGTGCATATTTAGGGAATCCGCGAACATAGTATGCTGTCCCCCGACATATCCAAGTATGGTCTCCCTTATGGCTTTCGGTATTCTAGTAGTCTACAGTCAGCGGCACTTGTCGCCTTCGATGGAGCCTCCCGTGAGTATGTGCATAAACAATACTACCGTGAAGGTAGCCATCGCCAAAACGTGCGAAACAATATTCGTCAAGGTGACACTTGTCGGCCTAATATAATCCTGGTGTGAGTAAGTCTGAATTCAGACTCGGAAAAGAGCAGATGTGCAGACTGTGGTCTCTGGTAAACGTTCCCACTGACTCTGATTGCATAGTATTACAGCCTTTTGTGCACTTTGCTAATGACCTGCATGACGAGTCACCGTCCGCCTTAAGTGCACCAGAACGCCGTCACTGCCTACGGAGGTTGACTAAGACAAGAGGCAGCGTAAGCCGACAGTACGAATCGGACTCAAGCCGATCGACACGCGTAAGGCCAGGCCTGTCAGATCGTCTCACTGCGGCGACGCCTAAACATTTTTTCCCGACTTTGTCTCTCACCTTGGTTGGAATGCAACACGCAAGCGTCCGGCTTCCACCTGTGCACCAGCCATATATACCCGCGCTCTCGCTTCTCTCCTCTGGCACTGCGCCGGCCATCCGCTAACACAATGGGAGGTCTCACCTTAAAAAACATACTCTCTGCCATTCGTCAGGGGTTTCCGCCCAAGTCCAAGTTTTCCCCCGACCAGATACCTGACCTCACTGGGCGCGTCTATATAGTCACCGGTGCGTACTGCCGTCAATATCAGCGTCTTCACGAGGCTTCTGATGCACTGGCCATGCATTCTTGCAGGGGGAAACGTTGGAATTGGCCGCGAGACCATCAAAGTGAGTGACGAATCGTGTCTGCCATGTGTTACTGATCATGTTCGTGCGCGTTTCAGGCCCTATTGGAGCACAATGCGAAAGTCTACATGGCGTCTCGAAGCCAAGAAAAGGCCGAGGCTGCGATCAACGAGCTGAAGGAGCAGACCGGGAAAGAGGCACTCTTTCTCCAACTTGACCTCAGTAGCCTTGCGTCCATCCGGCGCTCCGCCGAGGAATACTTGAGGTGCGCAACGCGTGGTATCTTTTCGCCTCATATTAATACAGCTGCGTATGGTCAGCAAAGAGAGGGAGCTACATGTGCTCATCAACAATGCGTCAGTGTCCTTTCTCGCCAAAGCTCATTGTTGATTCAACAAACTGGTTCATAGTGGTATCATGTGGTGTCCCATTGAACAGCTTAGCGAAGACGGCTACGATCTTCAATTTGGAACCAACGTCCTCGGTGCATATCTTGCAATAATACATGTTTTGCTTCTGGAAACTCACGATGCATACAGGACATTACTACTTCACGAAATTGCTCATTCCTGCTCTCATCGCAGGTGCCGAATCGTCCGCAGACCACCGGGCACGTATCGTCAATGTCTCGTCATCTGCCTCATATCAATACACGCTCAATTGGGATTCTTTCACTGACGGCGCCGCAAGAAGGAAAGTAGGAACGACAATGCTCTACGCTCAGAGTAAATTTGTGCGTCCTCAGCCCACGTTGCACACATTATCTTAATCCCGTCGTGCAGGGCAACGTTGTAGTTGCTCGCGAGTTTGCCAAGCGTTACGCCGACAAGGGAATTATCTCCACCTCTGTAAACCCAGGTTGGTCGGCGTGAAACAAACGACATCGATCATTCAATATTAATTGACGGACTCCACCTAGGTAACATCCAGACTGAACTGCAGCGTTATGTTCCAACTGTCATGCGCGCGATTATGGTAAGTTCAATAGAGCAGCTGAACGTCACGCTCGGACGCCTACATAACACTACTCACCAGAACACCCTGATACTTTACCCCACACGGTATGGTGCGCTTACTCAGCTATGGGCTGCTACTATGCCAGAGCCACTGGACCACAATGGCAAGGTATGTATCGTTACCCCCGAGATTCACGCGATTATGGATATGTCTTTTACGTGGCTTTACAGTTCCTCATCCCGTGGGCCCGAGTTGGAGTGACTCGGGGGGAAGCATACGACGACAAGATCGGAGAGCGGTTGTGGAATTGGCTGGAGGAGCAGGTGAAGGATAAGTAGTCATCTTCGTGATTTGATGTACTAGTTGGTGTGATGCTAGTCACTGTCGTATTGAGTCTATAGCGTGAGGATTTACTGCTACCCTTCGGTGATATTTGGTCTGCGCGAATCTCAATGTCGCATACGCCCGTTGATGGTCAATCAGAATATTTTTCGTCTTGGAGTTTGAAGCCACTGAGCCATGTAGACCGCTGTTGTGAACTTGAGAAATAAGATCGCGATCCCGACCAAGCGTGCCTGTTGCGGACTCCCGCCGAGTTTCGGCGTGACCGTCGATCGCATGCCTGATGACACGTGCTTAATGTGCGGCCGGATGTGGATCTATGTCGCGTGACCCGCAAAGCTGCGTGCCCGCGGCTCCTCGTCATCATTCGTGTTGCTGCCCGCTTTGGCATTCCGCCGTTTCTTTTGCCACGACCACTCCTTGTCCGACGTCGACGTCCCCTAGAGTCCCAGCGCGCAGCCCCACCATGGACAATGCGCTTTTACCGTCGCGACGACGGCACGTTAGATCTACGACAACTATCGTGGACGCCCGCAGTGTCCAGCGGTCCGAGTCCTGTCCCATTTACAACGGTCCCTCAACACACCGCACACCCTCTATCTGGACCAGCAAACCTTTCGCAGAGACACCCGGAGCGAGCAGCTCCAGCACTCGAAACACAGCGTCTCGAATCGTGAGTACGATGAGGAGACCATTTAGCACCACTCCCAGAAAGCGGGATGCGAGCGCCATGGTCAGTAGCTAGTCAAGGCTCGTTATTCCCTTGTTCTAATCGCTGCGCATCGTTGCAGGGGATGTATTCTACCCCTGAGGAGAGCAACCTTCCTGCCCCATCACCCTACAACGTGCGTGATATCCCACTTCCCACCATCCAGCAGATCGCCATGGGTCTGCATGTATCGCGCACACCACATCTACGTCCACCACATTTGGCGCAGCCTTCTCATGCTCGCAGTCGCTCACGAGGGCATTCGGACGATACCCTACCACCATTCGCCGCCCCGCTGATGAAAGCATCAAGCGACAACCGGCACCGCAGGCGAGGCTCTGCGTCCGCTATCATGCTTCCGCCACCCCCAGCGCGCTCATCTCTGAAGAAGCCGAGCACGCCTACACCGCCACGTAGCGCACCGCCGTCATTGCCTCTGACGCCATCTGGATCCGACCTTTCATTAACGGGTTCGACGCTCACTTCGAGCGCCCCTGTGACGCCACGCTCGATGCGAACAGCCTCTGTTACTCTCCTTCCTGCTCGGCTGCAGCTTAGTGTATCAAGGCTGCTCCGAAGCCCTAGTCGGAAGAATTCAACTGCCAGCTCGACAACGTCGGGCAAGTCGGGCAGTGAGTCGGTTTCATCCGAACTTACACCGCGGAAGATGGTACGCTTCACAGTGTCATCGCAGGAGGGTGAGCTAGACGTCGCAGATCCTGCACCTCCGCAGTGACTGCGAGCGACCGTCATTACATTATCGCAAGGGTAGAATTGGATTTATGGTTAACGCTGGGTTCATCTTCGCGTTTCTGGATTACATATGTATAGGATTTATATAAGGAGGGTTGGTACGATGTTTTAGCACGCCTTTTCGTCTCCATCGCCATTATTTACTACATCGTAGAAAGCATCCACCTGTCATCGCGTAGCATAGCATTTCTGTCAATGTATCCATCTCGACTGCGATGCCGGTTCGGCTCGGCGTTAGTACGGGAGAGAACCGATCCGAACTGAAGCGCTGGTGCAGATGCTGTGCGGGGTACGGGTTGAGTCAAGAGGCTGATGTCATCATGAGCCGGACGGACTGCTCCTTCTCGGCTCAGGGCTGGGACCACGGCTGCACTTTCAAGTTGTGTTTCTCTCTCTCCATCGTCTCTTGCTAGATTCATAGACATTTCTTCTTGGAACACCATGGCTCCCGTCGAAACCGAATATTACGACCTGGTACGCCCGTCGCCCAGCAGTTCGGTTGATCGTACTCACTCTTGCCTGCCCATCTCGGTGGCAAACCATTCAGCTGGGAGTGGCTCCGGATGTCAATGACACCGATCTAAAGAAAGCATATCGCAAACAGGCCATCAAGGTCAGTATCCTGCTTGGCACGCGCCTTCAGGCCAAGTCGCAGGACCTCATGTTTGGTCTTGGCCACAGTTTCACCCAGACAAGAATCCATCCCCTGATGCCGAGGAGAAATTCAAGGACATTAGGTGAGTTGCTTAGACGGAGATTTGGAATAGCCTGCATCCACAGGCTGTAGGGATGTGGGTGCGCATCCAGGGTTGCAGCACAGGAAGGACGAGACGTATACGATTCCCCTTACCGGGTCTCTTGAGACCTGACGCCACGAATATGACTGTTAATGTTTTGTCGTGGCGTCTGCACGTATATGACTCAACTTTCTAGTCGAAAAATCTGGTCATCGTCGTTGTTGGATCCCATTACTAATCTACCACCAGCAAAGCATATCAGGTCCTATCAGATTCCGTGAGTTATACCAGTCGTTTATAGTCGTGGATTCGACCAATGCATGCTGCTAGAACCTGCGAGCGGTGTACGATAAGAATGGCGCGAAGATGGTGCGTGTGTTTGTATATTATTACATTGGTCGGGCGCATGACCGTTCCTACTTTGTAGCTTGACAAGGAAGGAGGTATGGGTATGGAGGATGCGGCAGGCTTCTTTGCGAATGTCTTTGGAGGAGAACGATTCAAAGATTATGTGAGCCACCTAGTCCTCTTCACGATGACCCCACTTAACCTCAGTGTAGATTGGCGAGATTTCCCTTATGAAAGAAATGACATCCCTAGCGACGACGATGATGACCGACGAGGAAAAGGCCGAGATCGAGCGAGAGATGAACGAGAATGGCTCGCCACGGCCTGCCCCAACACCAGCC